TCCTAAATTTTTCTTTTGTTACTAAGAACAGACACCAAACAGCCAGATCAATTAACACCATCCAGCCGTCCTAACAAGCACTGCACCTTCCACGTCTGATCGGGGCGCATGAAGATCTTTTGCCTCCGAGTCTCTGTGAGTCTCTCGGCCGCACGCTGATCCCTGTTCCCAGTGTGCCTCCCACTGTTACGTAGGCCTGGTTAATTTAACTACATTTCATTTCTCAAAGAAGCAGAGGCATGGTTACCACATCAGACCCCAGGTCCACAGACAGCAGGCCAGGTAAGTGGGAAACTAGAACATGACTGCAATTGACAGATTTTTTCATGCCGCAAATAACTTTTGATTTAATTAAATCAAACTATTGGATTTAATGTGCTAAGAAAGTAAAAGCTTGAGCCCTTTTCTGTGAGAGGGTTCCCTTTCTGTAATCTTCTGTAAGGAAGACTACCATGATTCAACCATTTCTAGGAATCTGTCAAAAGGAAATCATCACCAGAGATGTACACAAGATGTGCATAAAAGATGTTTTCAGCGACACTTCTTTTAAAAGTGTAAGCAGCCGAAATCTCCTGAGGGAGAGGGCTGCCCTCGAATCGCTGCTATGGACGTCTTCCTTCTCTTGTCCCCGAGCCCAGGCTTGTGCCGCTCGCTGCCTGACATGCCGGTAAGTTGAGAGACACAGCACTGGGGCCAGGAAAGCAACTTCATTCAAAGCCAGCAGATGGGCGGTGGCAGACCTTTGTCCCAAGGCCCCCTCTTGACTCGGTTGCCTGCACTCTCTTTTTATGCTGGGGAAGGGGGAGCAGGAACGGAAAGGTCAGAGGGTGACCGAGGCTGAAGACGGGGCGCCAGCAAAGGTCCGAGCGCTGAGAAACTTCGTGTCCTTGGTTCTCAGACTCTTGCTCATGCAGGTCTGGTCACAATGTTCCTATAATCTTGGACAGGGCAAACATTATTTCATGGGGGGAGGCAAGTTCTGGATAAAGAGCTATTTGCAGAAATCTCAGGCTGTGAACAGAATTCCTTCTGATGATTAACAAGCCTGCATGCAGGGCTACAGCCTGAGCAGAAGCCCCTTTCCTTTTTTTTCCTTTTGGCCCAAAGGTTGAGGCAGCAAAACATATACAGTGTGGAGCTGGAGAAGCTGAGCTACCTGCCGCACTTTCCCCCACTCGTTGGCATATGTCACTTGAAAGCTGTTTGTGATTTTAATGACTTGTCTTCATTAATACGAGTCTTACACTTACCAGCCATGATTGACTTGCCTTTTGTATCATTAATGGACCAGAAGTAACTATTCTTGAGGTAAGTGGGCAAGAGAACTGGGTAAGAGAAGTGCAAGCTGCTCCTCATGCCCAGGTCACACGCGACAGACAGGAGTGCAGTGCGTACCCTGGGCTGTCTGACCTCGGGCTCAGCTCTGAGTGCCCACCCCTAGCCTCGCAGGGCTGTGGAGCCCAGGCAAGCAGCCCTCTGGCCCTAGGTCTCCTCCAGGGCCCAGTCTGTGAATGGTCCTCCTTCTGCAGGTGGCCCACCAGCAAGTCTGGGGCAGAGAAGATCATGGATAACTGGAGTGGAGCAAATGCAAGCAGTGACTGGCCCAGTGTCATGGTGTGATGCGCGGCCTGGGAAAGGATACCATATTATGCTGTAAGGGTCCTTGGGGGTAAACTGGTAATGGGCAAGAAACACGGTTGCTTTTTACCAGGGGAAGTGTAATCTATGGGAAAACTACATCTCAGAGAAAAACAAACAGATGCACAAATTTTACCCTCAAAAATATTTATTGTAGTATTTGTGAGATAGTTGATGACATATATACTGCTCTCTGCCCCGGTTCCCGGCACAAAGCTCCTAAGCCTTGCGATGTCCTATGGACACGAGCACCAGGGGCACCTTCCGCTCTAATATGTGGCCTCTGGCCCTGTTCCCGACAGAGCTCCTAAACCCCTGGGAGTGTCCTGGGTGACGGGAGCGTCTGCTGCTGTGGTGAGGACATGGCTGGGCTCCCGGAGAGGGCTGCTCACCAAAGACCGGCCACGACTAGGCACCCCACCTCACCCCCCATCCTCCAGAGGGGGGCGAGGGGCCCGAGACTGAGCTCACCACCGACCATGCCTGCATGAGGAAGCCCGTAGAAGTCCCAGAGAGCTTCCAGGTGGGTGGTGCAGCCCGACACCACAGGGATGGAGGCTGTGGGCCCTTCCGGACCTGCCCCAGGGAACTCCTCAGCTGTGCCCTTCATCAGATCCTTTAGTAACTGACAGGTGTGAGTCATGTGCCCCTGAGTTCTGTGAGCCGCTCTAACAAATAATCAAATCCAACGGGGAGAAGGTCGGGGGAACCTCCAGTTGGTACCCACATCAGTCATGGGTAAGCTGGGAACTTGCTAACTGCAGTTTGCATCGGGGGCGGTCTTGCGGGACTGAGCCCTTCCCCTGTGGTATCTCCAGGTAGACAGGGTCAGAACCGAGTTAAATTGTACAACACCAAGCCGGTGTCAGAACTGCTCAGTGTTGGGGGTGTTGGGAATGTGTGAAAACAGGATCGGTGGGATTTGGGTGCGTTTGAAGGCTTACTCAAACACAGAAGGGAGTCACCTAAAGGCAGGATGGCTTAGTAAAATATTAAGGACAAGTGATGCAGTATTACATAACTATTAAAAGTGTAGTTCTGAGTTTGGATGGCATGGAAAAACAATTCTTTCTAAATGAAAAAAGGACATAAAATATATTATTAAAAATTGTATTTAAAAACGTATGGAAAAGAGACTTAGAAATATCAATACAAACCTGGTTTTGGTAAGCAGTAAATTCCCCCCTTTCTCCAATTTGTCTATCATGTATAAATACTATTTTCATACAGAAAACATTAAACTACTTAAAAACAATGTAAGCTAGACCTCAACAAATTACAGCGGTCTTAGATAGGAAGACTCACCCTCACAAAGACGGGCAGCCCCTCAGTGGTCTGTAACACGCTCCAAATAAAACCCTCTTGGGTTTACACTTACGGAAGAGCTGCAAATGCAGTGGATTTCCCCCCTCTGCCCTTCACCCAGCCTTTCACGTGCGTAGTACAACGACCCAAAGCAGAGATGAATGTTGGTGGTACTATGTAATTACACTACAGTTTACAAGGATGTTGCCAGTTTTCCATGAAAGTCCTTAATCTGTCCTAGAGGCTGAACGGGACAGCACATGGCACTCAGTTGTCTGTCTCCTCTTCCCGTCTGTGACCGTGCCTGTCTTGAGACTCACAGCACAGGGGAGCTTTGTAGCAGTCCCCGAAATCTGTGTGTCTGACACTTTCTGAGACTAGGTTGGACAGCAGAGCTGGTATGCTGTCACCACAGCCTGGCTGGGGATGCAGACGTTTTATCACCTGATGAAGTGGGGGGCCTGTCATCCCCACCACAAAGTAATCATTTTCCCTGAAAATGATTCGTCTTAGGGAAGCCTTCATACTCACCCAAATCCCCCTTCTCCTTAAACTGGGAGTGTCTGTGGCTGCCACCCTTTCTCCTACAGTTGTCAAGGGAATCCCTGTATGAAGACTGGCTCCTCTCTCCCGCTTACCTTCCATCAGGATGGGTTCAAGGACGTTTTATCCTTTTGGTTGCACACCAATCCTATCATCTTTTACCTTTTCCTCAGTCTGGTCCAGCTGAGCCACTGGGAGCTCTCAAGTTGGTGACCGTGTCCCCGGGACAAGCCCCTCCTTACTCTCTGGCCCACAAGACGCCCCGAGCTCCCCGGGGGCTTTCCCCGCTCAGCCTTGCAATCAGCAGCTCCGAGGAGCCTCGCCTCTTGCTGGACAGGATGGTCTGGAGTGCAGCCTCGTGGACAATTAGGGGGCAGGTGTGTGGCTGACCAGGTACACACACAGTCTGTGTATTTGGTGACCATGCCTTTCAGATACACAGGGGTCCCAGCACCGCGGCAGTCATTCTCTCCTTCCCTCTTATTTGTAACTTCTTCCTCCCACAGTGAGAAACCTGCCTGTCTCACCACCTACAAAACACCCCTAGATTTAACGCCGGTAAACACATTAGATACTTTGAGAACTGATCCCACACTCGTGTGAACACACTCATTGTGTCTACGGTCCTCGTCCCCAGCAGCAGGCCGTGGTGACATGGTGCCTCCCGAGTGTGTGCCCCAGCCAAGTAGTTCACCTGGCTGTCCCCGGCCCCAAAGTACACTTTTCAGTTAAGAGATTTCTGCTCCAAACTACAGACCAGAACCCAAGGCGGGCTTTCTCTCGGAGCCTGTTTGCCCCCATTTTGCTTGCAGTCCTATTGAGTTTCACGACTTCCCAGCGGATCAAAATTCCCAAGCTGGAGGGGTACAGATGGGAAGCCAGGCAGGAACAAAGGCAAAATCTACTAAAAGCAAAACGGAAGAATTAAGGAAATGAACCCACAAGGACCAAGGGCTATTCAGGAGAGTGACAGGTCCCATCACGCGGGCTGGGGCCACAGTGAAGGATGCCCGGTGCTGAACGAGCCCGCAGGCAGCCGACCGAGGGGCGCCGCTGTCCCCCGGGGCAGCAGGGAGCGAGCGGGAGGCTCCAGGACGCTTCTGGAGGCCTCCCCAGGGGGCGACTGTGAGGAGCTTCGCTGTCACTTGCGGACCCTCTCCGACCGCGATCCGGCCTCGCTCTGGATTCTGCACTTGCTGCTTGAACACAGGCCTCGGTGTGGTCCCACCAGGGAGCGTAGCCCTCGGTCTGGAGCCCACACGGCGCCCTCCCTTCGGACCCCGCCGCCGCCGCCTGGGGCTCCGCGGACTCAGCGACCGAGAGTTCACGCCGAACGCCGCGGAGAGAATCGTCCGCGGGCCGAGGTGCCTGCGCGGACCCTCCGCTCGCGGGAACCACAGCCCGCGGGGCGCCTCCGCTGCCCGTCACGTGGCGTCGTGGTCACGTGTCGGGGCCACGCGGGACGCGGCCGGCCGCCTCCGCCCTCTCGCGAGACCCGCGGGGCCACGTGACGATGCGGGCGCGGCGCTGACTCACGTGACGGGCGCCGCCGGCCGTGGGGTCTCCTTCCAGCCGAGGGCGCCGCGGCAGCCGCGCCTCTGGACACGGGCCGCGCCGCGGCCAACCGCCCATCCCGCGCGACCCGCTTCCGCGCCAGCTTCGGCGGCCTCGCTCCTATGGCGGCCCCTGGCGGCGCCCGGCGGCTGCCGCTGCTTCTGTTGCTCGGTGAGGGCGGGGGACGCGGGGCCTGCGGGGCCGGGGGGCGCGGGGTGGGGGGCCTGCAGGGTGCGGGGCCTGCGGGTGAGGGCCGGGGGCGCGGGGTGCGGCTAGACGTCCGCTGGGGGCTGGCCCCCCGGCGGGTCACCGAACTTCCGGGGCGTTAAGCTGGGCACGATTTCGTTGGTTCGGGGCGGCCCGGTGGGTGACCCGGCCCGCGAGCAGGCCTGGCCGTGGGTGTGACGCGGTGCTGACCTGGTCGGTGTCCCCGAGGCCGGGCGCCGCCGGGGCCGGGGGCTTTCGTGCTCACGTGAGGCCCGACCACGGGAGGCGTGTTGCCGCGCCTTCGCCGGAATCGGCCGGCGGCCCGGGTTTGGGTGCCCAGGCCCTTGGTGACCCCGTGTCGCCGCCGGCTCCCGTCGCCCGAGTGGCGTGGGAAGGGGGTGTAAGCGCCGGGGCCTGGGATGCCGACCACCCGACGGCCGTGGGGCCCGTGAGCGGGTGCGGGAGCGGGAGCGCGCCCCGCCCCGAGCCGCCCCGAGGGCTCTCAGGGTCTCACTTCCTGCCCTAAAACGCTGTTCAGGGGCCGGGGTGGATTTTGGTTTCACCGTTTTGTTCCGCCTGCTGTGGTGAGTGAGTTCTCCGAGGTGCGGTCGTCGGCGCACGGGCCGCCCTCGCGCGGCGGGCCCGGCCGCCTCCGGCAGGTGCGCCGAGGTCCTGCAGGGCGCGCCCGACAGGCCGGGTCGTGCCGGCGGCCGCGCTGCGCCGTGTTACGGGCGCGCACAGGCACTGGGACGTTCTCGCCGAGCCTCAGGTTTTGAAAGGCACCGTAACGGTGCAGAGGAAAATCCTCAGCTCCCCTCGGTCGTGGCAGCCTGCGGTACTGTGCGCGTGATTAGCCTTCTGATGCCCATTCTGTCATCTGTTAATCCATTTTCAATCCAACTTTTACAAAGGTCTGTTAAGTTGATTTTAGATCTATTTAAAATATTTATTTTAGTGTACACTTTCACTAGAAAGCATCTTTCTGAAAATGTTTCAGACTTCTAAGTTACTAATTTTTCCTGCATTGGTAATTAGAAACCACTTAAAGCCTCTCTTGTGTTGGACTACTCGAAAGCATAGAAAAGCATGAACTGAAACTTTGGCAGATTAGGTGTGATTTCGTAATGACTCTTCAGACTAGTGCTATCAACTGGCCGACCTTCCCCTTTCCAAGTAAAGAACCGTCCCCCCTGAGGCTGGAAGACTCTAAAGCCAATTAATGTCCCCTCCACTGTGGGACTGTCAGTTATGCAGCCTGGCCACGGGATTCTTCACGAAGTTTGAGGTCAGGCTGTGTTGGGTCCGTAATTTTGAATGTACGTTGTTAGACCTACCCCAGTGCAGTATCGCTCCAGTCTTTCTGTGTCCACAGGACTTGAGTACATACAGTATAGCACATGCTTTCACTGGAGCATCCATTAATCTGTGCTGTGACTATTTTTACATATGAATCTCCCTCTTACAGCACACATAGTAAGTGCTCAGTACATACGTGTAGAGACAGCCAGATGTACCGCAGTGGTCACTAAACAGATATGCAGCAGGCAGCTTTTAGAAATGGAGGTACTTGCACACCTCTTGAGGGTGTGACTGAGATTTATGGGAAGGTATGTGGGGTTTCTGGTTGTCCTGTCCACTTTAGGCTTGAGTGATTGTGTCTGAAGATATTATTCTGTGCAGGTCCCAAGGGTGAAGTGTACTGGGCTTGTTGGAGTCATTTACTCTGCCAAGACAGTTCACTGTAGAATGTGAGGCTAATTCAGTATCCTCAGTAGGCCGCCTTCAGATTGTGCCCGTTACAGCAACTGGTGAGAAGGGGTGTAGGAGCTGTAGCAGCAGAAGGGAGGGCACATCACTTCCAGATGTCATGGTGCACAGTGGCAGCTGGCAACTGTTTGTCTTTGAAACTAATCAAAACTGTTTTTGCCCATCTATCAAAAAAAAAACACATGAAAACAGTATTCTAGGAGGTGTGGCTTATAAATCGCTTCTCTTCTGCAGTGGTTAGACTATGTGTGCCGCTGCAGGGCTTTACCAGGGCTGTGGGTAGGAAGGAGCAGAGATGACAGTGGCCCTGAGAACTTACTCAGTTGGGGGTAAATACCTGGCGATGGCCCCAGGCTGGGAGCACCCACGAGAGCTCAGGCTGCCCCTTGCCTCTGGGATACGGCAGCCCTGCCAGAACAGGTGGGCTAGTGTCCTCTGGTCACACAGCCAAGTCCAGGTTCGACTGGATGACTTTTTAAAGGACGTTTCTGAAATGGGGCAGAGAGCACATGGCTCTTCTGGCCACCAGTCCGTGACAGTAATACCAAATCCAACTTTAAGTAGCAGCTCGGGCCACAGTGAACGCTGTGCAGCTCTCCCGAGGGTTTCTGTTTGTGGTCAGTATTTAGGTTGAGTTGTGCCACCAGGTGCCCAGCGCATGTCCCAGGAGGCCTCTAGAGGAGTGAGCTGGGGCAGCATATGCCCAGGGGTGACCCTAAAATCGACACGTGACTTCTGGATAAGTATTCTGGAGTTAAGCATTAAAGAGTCATCGACCCAGTTGGCAAACTGACCTGATGGGTTTAGAGAGAACATTTCCAGGATTGTATCCAGGACGGAAGGAGGACCCAGCTGGACCTAGCCTGCTGCTTTGCTGGTTTGAGAGGCGCGCTGGGGTCTTCTCATAAAATCTGTTATTACTGCAGTTGTAGACAACAGAAATACCCAGTATTTTCAAAAAAGTGTTTGGCTGTTTCTGTCTTTCCTGGGGTTAGCAGCCCTCGTGCACGGAGCCCTGGCAGTGTTTGTGGTGAGAGACGGCAATGGGACAGCCTGTGTGATGGCCAACTTCTCTGCTGCCTTCTTGACCAGCTACGGCGCCAGGAGTGGCCCTAAGGTAGGAGGCGCCAGAGTGCTTCGTGCACTGTGTGTACGTGTGAAGGTGATTATAGAATTTCAAGAAGTGTTTAAAAAATGATTGCACCGAAACACAGCTCGTGTGTGCGTATTTCCTCCTGCTCTCCTCTGGAGCCAGTGCTTTTATGCACTGAAGCTGTGGTCCTAACAGACCCTTTTGTGTTCTGCTTCCACTATGTTATTAGCATTTTTCCAGCTTTCTTCATGATTACCTTTTGTAGTCACAATACTTCATACGTTAATCTTAGTTTGTTCAGCCACCTCTCCGTTGGTAGTTAAAATTTTCTCCAGTGTTTCTTATGCCTGGTATGCAGCTCTGTGAGCTTTTTGATGTTGAATTTGTTTTAGATAAACTGTTATGCTCCAAGAATTGTACATAAACAGCTGTTTGGTGTGCCGCGCTGTAGCACTGTGCTGGGGTGATTAAAATGTCTTTGCCGGGTTAAAGCTGTTGGGCACTTCCACAGGAGGCCCTTTCTGTCTGCTAGGTTTCTAACAAGCAGCCCTTGCTTGTATTTCCTCCATTAATTACCCCTTAATGGACGTTTCGCTTGCTCTATTTAATGCTCTTAAGTAGATCCCTAAACCAAATTTATTTTTAGTTCTTTGATGAGGCCACCGTTTTTCCTTACCCGTCTCCAAACTGACATCACAGTGTCTTTATACCACCATCCAAAGGGCAGTCGTGGGCCTTGGGGTGGCTGGGAAGCTCAGCAGTCCCTTCGGAGCACTCCAGACTTCGTGCCAGCTGCCCGGGCCTCACTGGCTCATTTGTACCAGGCTCCATATAATGTAGTCTCTGTCAAAACAGAAGAAAACTGGGAAGGTTGAAATGTCTCAAATTATAAAGATTTGTCCGAGCACCTTTTAGTTTCTTTTTTTTGTGTGTGTATTTTAAAAATATCATTGTTATATATTACGTCACACAGATGGGAACCCCCTTGGGCTGCTCTGTGCCTCCTGCTTCACAAAGCATGTCTTGTCACCTCTTGCAGTTCTGTCATTTCTTAGCATGAGTATGCAGCTTGGTCATGGTCTCCCAGCCCATTCAGTTCGTTCTGGTGGACAGTCGGTTTTCTAGATGTGTGTTCTGCTTATAATAGTAAATTCAGACAGCTCTGCAGTAAACACCCTCTTTTCTTTGTTTAAAGAGATATTCTTTAAACAGACATTTGTGTAGCAAACAAGCATTGATAGCTTCTTTCAAATATAAAAATATGAACACAGGTCCTCTGAAGCCCGATGTGAATTTCAGTTAGATAACTATAGCTTTAATTCTGTTGTAAACTCAGATGTGTCAGTGAGGAATTTCTGACTGAATAATTGCCAGCTTTGTCTTACACTGGAGCTTCCTTTCAGTCTGTTACTGACACAGAACACCGGCTTTCATTGTGTTCCTGTTTCTGTTTAAAATGAGTACTTAATGGGTGGTAGCCGAGATGGACCTGAGGTGGGAGCTGATAGCAGACTCACAGATCTTTGGATTTTCTGAGTCACTCTAATAACCTACTTTCTATTTGGGTTCTGTTGTCACTTTTCTAGAATGTGACCTTCGACCTGCCACCTAATGCAACAGTGTTAAATAGCAGCTCTTGTGGTACAGAGAATGCTTCTGACCCCAGCCTCATGATTGCCTTTGGAAGAGGACACATACTGACCCTAAATTTCACAAGAAATGCAACACGTTACAGTGTCCAGCTGATAAGTTTTGTTTATAACTTGTCCGACACACAGCTTTTCCCCAATGCCAGCTCCAATGGTAAGAAGAAAAACTGACTAATGTGGAGTGGGGAACATTGGGTTGGGGGTGTCTGAAGGTACTTTGAACTGAGTACATCAAGTAGTTAAAAATTGATTTTTTTTTAAATACAGAAACCAAGACTGTGGAATCTGTAACTGACATCAGCGCAGACATAAACAAAAAGTACAGGTGTGTGAGCAACAGTCAGATTCGCATGAACAACGTGACTGTCACGCTCCGTGATGCCACCATCCAGGCATACCTTTCGAACAACAGCTTCAGCCGGGAAGGTAAGTCCCTGCCCTGGCCCTGGCGCCGCCGGTCTGGCTCCCTGGTGCAGAGGGTCTCTGCCCGGTACCTGGGGAGACGTGAGTGAGCAGGTATCCGCATGGCCGGGAACCAAGCTAGCAGCTTGTGGCTAGAACTGCCCAACAAATCTCTTCTTCGACAAAGCGACCTCTTTATGGGAGAGACTGATTAAAAAGCTAGAAGGGTGAGCAGCTGGACTTTGTCTCTGTGTCTGCCCTCAGGTAGCACTGTCACTTTACTGAGACTTGGCAAGGTGCTCTTCCCACCTCCTGCCAGTCAGCTCGCACCTCTGTAGTTTTCCTAAAGGGTGAGGGGCTCGTGGCCTGGGGTGCTGTCCTCCAGCAGGGAGGAAGCAGCACCCTTCTGCAGAGCCCAGGCCCCACAGGCTTTGATTTCCAGTGTCCCCGGCAGTCCTGCTTCACGGCCCAGGTGACTGTTGGAGGGGCTGATGCACCTTGCACGGCAGGTGCTCAGCAGCACGGCAAGTCAGTCGTCTCCTGTGCAGTTTGTCACGGTCCCGCCAGAGACGGCCTGCTCCTCACCGGGCGGTACACTGGCCTGCAGCCCCACCCAGCCCACCTGTGGTTTCTATATAGCCAGTGAGACAGGCATGGTTTTATGCTTAAAAACTGTAGGTCAGAAAAAAAATCAAAGGAACATGTCGTGGCACATGAAAAGTCTATGAAATTCAAGTTTTGGCGCCTGTGGTTGAAGTCTTTCCAGAACATGGTCATGGTCGCTCGACACCTGCCTCTGTGGCTGCCCCCTCGCTCGGGGCGGTGGAGCTGAGCTGGTACAGGTTCTAAGTCTGGAATGTTCGCCCTCTGGCCCTTTACAGAGGATACTTGCTGATTCCTGACCCCATGGCAAGAGGGTTAGCAGTAGAGCTGGGCCCGGAAGGAGCTGTGCACCCGGCAGTGAGCGTGCGGGGCTTGAAGTGGAGCTCCATGCCAGCTGGGGCAGCAGCTCTGAGGCACGCGGGCCCCACGTCTCCATGTGTGCCTCTCCGCAGAGTGGGCCTGGGGGCGGGGGGGTATGCACCAGGTGGGGCTGGTGTGTGCCACGTGTGAGGGCAACAGGTGCAGGGTGCACTACTGTGCACCTCACAGGTGGATGAAAGGGGTCGAGGGCAAGCCAAGCTCAAGTTGGAGTCCCGAGCTCAGTTCTGGGACAAGTTCACAACTACACACCTGGATCATGTCGGCCTCCTTGGGTCTCGGGGGCGGAGGGAAAGAGCAGACCCGGTCAGGCTGCAGAAGTGACAGGCCTCCGGTGTGAAGGTCTCACGCAGTGACCCCACAGGGCTGAAGGGGGCTGCAAGACGAGCTCCTTGCCTTTACTGCCTGTTTTCTTCTGCTCTGAGACCTTCTGAGCCCCCTCGTCTGTCGTGGCGCTCTGAGCACAGTGCTCAGCCGCCGGGCTTCACACGGGCGCCGGGCTCCCCTTTCTAGTCCAAAAACAGTTGTGATGGTATAGGGACATAATTTTGTTTTGTAAGGGTAATTACTTTGTCTTTTAGTTAGACTTTATCTTCTTCGGGCAGTTTTAGGTTCACAGTACGACTGATCAGAAAGGAGAGATTTCCCACACAGCCCCGTGCTTCCGCAGGGAAAAGGCACAGCAGTGAGGCTGCCCCCGCACCTGGCCCCGTCCACCAGCCCCTCCCCAGGGGCGTGCCCGGTGCCACACACAGTCGCCCGTGTCTGGCCCTCTCTCCTGGGAGTTGGGCGTATAGAGCTGTCAGGGCGGCTGCCCACGGCCCTTCCTGAGGTTGTTCATCAGAAGCCTGCTCGCCGAACTTGGTCCCGCTTGTGGGAGGGGTCTGAGACCCCGCCACCTCCCCTCATGCCCTGTGGTGGTGCCCTCTCAGCAGAGCTTGGTTCAGTTCTATGGTAACTCTGCCCATGTAGGTATGTGTGTACTTTGGGAAGGAAATCTTGCTGCTCTTTGAGAGACGCTGGTGCATCCTCTCTGTGAGTTCTACCAGGAGGAAGCTACACGGGGTGGCCCGTAGGAGTCGGCGTGTCTTCGTCTGGTTTCTGGTTGCTTCCTGCGCAGTGTGCAGCCTTGGTGCTGGAGGCAGGAAGCCAGCAGAAAGCAGACCCGCCGCCCGAGCTCCAGGACCCTTTCAGGGTGCCCTTGGAATGTTGAGGGCTCTTCCCCTGAAGCGACTCCCACCCGCCCTCTCCCACAACCTGGGACCTGTTGCTGGACATGCTCTTCTGTGGGGCCTGGACGTCAGTGGCTCAGGCCCAGTGATGAGAGGGGTCTGCAAAGGGGAGGCCGGAAGAAGGAGCTCAGCTCGCAGGCTGCTCCAGAGCCAGGGGCCGCGCTGTATGGCAGAAGACGGTGGCTGGCGACATGCTCTGGGCCGGCGTTCCCACCGTCCCTGGCCTGTCACGAAGCTGACGCTGAGTGTGATCCTGCAGAGCCTCGCTGGGTTTCTTAAATCGGGTATTTTTGACAGTGGTTGGTATTAATGCTACTTTGCAAAAAGGGACCAGTAATTTCCCTGCAGGAGGAGATTTGATGGAACTGACCACATAAACTGACCCAACAGCATAAATTGTGAAAATAACTGATTTCTACTAAAATTGAGCCCTTTCTTTCTTCTTTCTCCTTTTGTGCCATTCATTCTTTTGGTTCGTAGGTGTCTTTGTAACTTACCTGTCAACTAAACCAGAAGCTTTCCAGGGAAAAGACGCCGCGCTGAATACGTTCATGTCCCTCCAGTCTGTTCTCTTGGATGCTTATCAGAGAGTTGCTGATGAGCACGTAGCCAGGAACCCAGTAAATTTTTGGCCGTAAAAGCCCAGGAAGGCTTCTGTTTGATGAACTGAGGATGTGAGAGGGGCCTTGGTCTTGAGTGTGGCGGTGCCTTGAGCACAGAGCCTTCCCACGCACGTCATCCTATCTGGGAAACCACAGAAGTTGAGGCTCACTTTCCTAGGAAGCACAGGCAAGGCTGCTCAAGTCACCTTTTCTTTTTTTTGGGGGGGGGGTATGTTTGAACAATTTTTTCCCTGTTTTGTTTTCCCTCTGTCAGTTTCGTTGATAAGTTCTGAAGGAAGCAGGTTTCTTCTTCCTGAAGGTGTGTAGAGTGGAGTGGATGGTCACCCTTACAGGATGGTCACCCTTACAGGATGGTCACCCTTACAAAATGGCCTGAGCTGGAGGTAGCGGGTGAGTGGGTCTCAGGCTGTGCTGCAGATGGGATGTCCAGCCCCGGGCCCATGCTGGGCCAGTGGGCTTGGGGTGAGGCTCATGCAGGGGTATAAACTTGATGGCTCAGCAGAGGCTTTGGATTTATTCATCTTTATTTTCAAGATTGGATACGCGGGTACGAGCTGATGCTTCAGTGACCATTGGAAGTTCAAGATACAGAGTTCTGAACACAGTTCGTCCTGATCCTCACCTCCTGCTAGCTCAGCAGTATCGTCTTCCTTCTGTAGGAACCGGTCTTGCTCCTTGTCTAGCCTAGTGAAGGAATTGATCCTAAAACACCACTTTCTGTTTGGGTCTTAATTGCAACATAAGAATTATTTGAAAATCTGTTCTGCCTGGAGGTCTTTTGGGGCCCTCAGGGCCTATAAATGCTTGAACATAGTGAGAAGAGCATGTGGAAGTGTGCTCAGCGCTGCCTGTCACCCTGCTCTCCTCGTGGGCGTGGAGGCCTCCCTGCACTTGGCGTCCTGGAGTGTGTGTTTGTGGGCGTCTCCTGGCAGGTTGCGAGCTGTCTGCAGGCAGAGCTGTGGGGTCTGCGAGGCGACAGGTGACTTGGAGTGTGGACGTTGCATTTATAATTCAGACAGAAGTGGGGAAGGAGGGGGCCATCGCTCCTGTATAGGTTTCCAGAGTCCTGGGATTTCCTGACTGTGGTCAGCCCTGATGGGACATTGTTCTTGTCCCCAAGTTGGCCTGTTGGAAGTGCTTGTCCAGCCAGCCTGGTCTGCTCTCCTGCTCCCCTGTGTGTGTGCTGTGTGGCCTCCAGCCCAGAATGCACTGACCGGCCAGGTTCTGATGTGGCTTTATGCATCCATCACATCGTGCTCCGTAGCAGTTTATAAAGTCACCGTGAGGCTCCTCCCAGTAGTACAACTCCAGTGCCAGCTTGTAGCTTAGCTGTAGCCGGGGGGAGGTGTCGGCCAGCACACCCTAGGGGTGGGCATTTCCAGCAGTATTTGCCCTGCCCCCTTAGCTCAGGGTCCGGTCCAGCCCATGGGGCTTTGCTTTACCATCTCTGTGCTGCCTGGCACAGGGTCTTAGCCCACAGAATGACCTTGTGTGAAGGAATGCTGGCAGGTCAGATTGTCCAGGAGCACTGGAACTGTCCTTGTGGTTCAGTCTCAGAGCAGGAGCTTCCTGTGTCCCCTCCCATGGATGTGGAGGTAAAGGGAAGTGCTCAGCTCTGGTTCAAGACAAGTGGAGGCCTGTGAAGGTGCAGTGCGTTCCCAGCAGGACACTCCGCCGTCCGTGGCTCAGCCAGGCAGAAATGTGGAAAGGGCCAGAATTGGATAAAACTGGTTTATTACTCTAAACCTGATTTTCTACTGAAACAAAGTGGTGAAAGAAGTAACCTAACTTTGAGGTCAATGTGCTGCGTAGCTGGGTATTTCAGGGTGTTAAGTAATCTTCATAAAGACCTGCATCCACCCTACTGCTCCTGTAGAGAACGCTCAGTTATCTTGTAGTCATTCTGCCTTGATTTTGAATATAAACTTTAGCTGTAAATGGTCACAGTGGGTCAAGTTCTACAGGATGGAGTCATGTTCTCATTCTTCAGCATGCCCTCTGGAGGTGTGTGGGGTCTTTTCGTGCAGACCCTGTGTCCCTCTGCCCCAGCCTGTGCCCCAGCTTCCCTCCCTTGGGTGGCTGTCCTGACCCTCCTGCCCTGCACCTGCTGTGCTCTCGCCACCCACCCAGCGTGACCCGCAACAGCTGGCCGACCCCATGTGCCTGAGTCTCGGCTCTCTGATCACGCAGGAGAGGAAAGCTCTGAGCCCAGGGCCCCTCAGAAGCTGAGATGGAAGGGCATCCAGTTAGAGGTGTGTGTGGTGGCAGGACTGGGGACAGGTGGATGGGACACTCCCGTACCTGGCTGGCTCTGTGGGGCAGTGGCACCATCTAACAATACCCTCCTGCCCTGTCCATCCAGAATGGTGTCAGCCTGCACCATCCTGGGGCAGGTGGAGAAGTCCAGTTCCTTGGGCCCTGCTGTCTGAGAAGCCTGGGGTCTGCGGTGAGCCTGGGACGGGAGCTTGTGCTGGGGGCTGCCGTAGCTCTTGGTGGTTTTCAGGAACCGCGACTCTTGTTTGTTTTCCTTCCTATGAGCTGCTTGATGCATCCCCGCTTGTTCCTCCAGAGACACGTTGTGAGCAAGACGGACCTTCCCCGACAACAGCACCTGCACCAGTGCCTCCCCGGCCTTCGCCGTCCCCAAAGCCTGAGAACCCCTCAGTGTTCAGGTACAACGTGACTGGCGCCAACGGGACCTGTCTACTGGCCAGCATGGGGCTGCAGCTGAACGTGACCTACGAGAAGACAGACAACACGGTAGGCTTGGCTTGGGGCCCTGCAGTGCCGGCACGCGGGTCAGGACGCAGCGGTCTGCTCCTGAGTGTGAGTCTGCGAGAAGAGGCTGGGGTGTCTGCATTGGGGCTGAGCTCACAGCGCCCGTCTGCACACCCCATGTCCATGTGCACACTGAGGCCCCTGCTCCAAGATGGCAGGGCCAGGCGGCTGCTGCTGGCTGTCCTGACCCTCCTGCCCTGCACCTGCTGTGCTCTCGCCACCCACCCAGCGTGACCCGCAACAGCTGGCCGACCCCATGTGCCTGAGTCTCGGCTCTCTGATCACGCAGGAGAGGAAAGCTCTGAGCCCAGGGCCCCTCAGAAGCTGAGATGGAAGGGCATCCAGTTAGAGGTGTGTGTGGTGGCAGGACTGGGGACAGGTGGATGGGACACTCCCGTACCTGGCTGGCTCTGTGGGGCAGTGGCACCATCTAACAATACCCTCCTGCCCTGTCCATCCAGAATGGTGTCAGCCTGCACCATCCTGGGGCAGGTGGAGAAGTCCAGTTCCTTGGGCCCTGCTGTCTGAGAAGCCTGGGGTCTGCGGTGAGCCTGGGACGGGAGCTTGTGCTGGGGGCTGCCGTAGCTCTTGGTGGTTTTCAGGAACCGCGACTCTTGTTTGTTTTCCTTCCTATGAGCTGCTTGATGCATCCCCGCTTGTTCCTCCAGAGACACGTTGTGAGCAAGACGGACCTTCCCCGACAACAGCACCTGCACCAGTGCCTCCCCGGCCTTCGCCGTCCCCAAAGCCTGAGAACCCCTCAGTGTTCAGGTACAACGTGACTGGCGCCAACGGGACCTGTCTACTGGCCAGCATGGGGCTGCAGCTGAACGTGACCTACGAGAAGACAGACAACACGGTAGGCTTGGCTTGGGGCCCTGCAGTGCCGGCACGCGGGTCAGGACGCAGCGGTCTGCTCCTGAGTGTGAGTCTGCGAGAAGAGGCTGGGGTGTCTGCATTGGGGCTGAGCTCACAGCGCCCGTCTGCACACCCCATGTCCATGTGCACACTGAGGCCCCTGCTCCAAGATGGCAGGGCCAGGCGGCTGCTGCGCTGCCTGCAGAGCGCAAGGTGTGTGTGCCACTCTACGGGATATCCTGTAAAATTTCACTGGAACTTTTACCCAAACGTTGGTGTCACTTTCACACTTTTCCTTTGAAGTAATGCCTTCCACTAACGCTGTCAGTGTCTGTGGGGCTTGCAATGAATGTGTGTTGGCGTTGGGGGCAGGGTGAGAGGGCATGAGGGTCTGTGCCTCTCCTGTAGGTGTGTGTCCCCGAGGAAGGAGCAAGAGTTGGTGCTTTTGTAAACCTCCCACATTCTCCCGGTTTCAGTTGTGAGAGTGGCCCCTAAGCTGCTTTTTAATCAGAGTTGCTTTTACTCTTGTAAGAGTGCGGAGGACAGAGGGCATGGAGTGGTAACGTGTGCCCCTCTCGCTTAGACGGTGACACACGTGTTCAACATCAGCCCAAACAAGACCACCGTGGGTGGGAGCTGCACTGCCCAGCTGGTGACTGCGGAGCTCCAGAGCGATGATGCCACGGTCCTGGTGTTCCAGTTCAGCATGGTGAGGGCCGGGTCCCTCCTGAGGAGCAGCAGCTCTGCACCCGGCTCCTCCTTCCTTTACGCCTGCCCGGGAGGAGTTCTGTGTAGTCTGGGAAGAGTCGCAGGTGGCCATGGAAGTCTCCTGTGACTTTAGCAAAGTTTAGAATGGGAAGGAGCAGAAAGCCATTCAGGCATATTAGCAACACTTTGCACAAGTGAGCCGATGAACAGTGGCATGTCTTCCAACAAAGTTTGACTTTCCTAAAGCTCAGTGAACATTTGGAGAAAGTTTACTTTTTTAGAATATGGCCCCTCCAATACACATTGCAGCCGAGAACTTGATTCTGTAGAAAGATCTAGAAGGAGCTAATCAGAATTGTGTTCTCAAGATATATTGATGTTTATAGACAACTCTCTGTAGTCTCATTGTGAAGCTGGGAATGCAAGAGGTCAGAGTCATCACCATGGGCCCTTCAGGTTTGGCAGGGGGCACGTGAGTCCAGTGAGTGGTTAAGGGCTGCCTTCTTCTCTTTAAGAATGCGAGTTCCAACCAGTTTTTCCTGCAAGGAGTCCAGCTGAATACCACTCTTCCCGATGCCAGAGGTAAGACCCACACAACTCAGGTGCCCGTGCTGGGGCCGCGGAACACTCAGAGTCACATGCCTTTGCAGACCCTGCTTTCAGGGCCACCAACAACTCGCTGAGGGCCCTTCAGGCCACCGTCGGGAAGTCATACAGGTGCAACTCTGGGGAGCACGTCCAGGTCACACGGGCCTTTGCTGTCAACATGTTCAAGGTGTGGGTGCAGGCTTTCCACGTGGAAGGCGGCACGTTTGGGTCTGGTGAGTCGCGTGGTGGGGGGTGGGCCCGGCTGGCTGGGCCCAGCAGGCTGTGGTTCCGCGCGGGTGGGGGCAGGGTGGCCATGCCGGACTAGACTTAGTGCAGATCCCCTTTCCTCCACTGCCTTTCTTTGAAAGGCCCCAGCCCATTTATCGTGGCAATGTGGACACACACCACTTGAGCGGGTCACTTGTCTGAACCCGCATGGCTCCTCCCCGTGAGGGCAGGACAGAAGAGGGGGGCCCTGGCCACACCCCTAGCTGCCCAACTACTCCCAAGTGCTTGCTGCTGTCCAGGGGCTGCGGCAAGGGCAGGTGACGGGGATCACAGCCCCTCCCCAGCCTAAGCCTCTGTGCCGGGCTGTGGGAAGGGGAGGGGAGCCCGGCCCCGTGTGGGACCAGCCTCAGCCTGCCTGTCCCTGCAGTGGAGGAGTGTCAGCTGGACGAGGACAGCCTGCTGGTCCCCATCGCCGTGGGCGGCGCCCTGGCTGGGCTGGTCCTCGTCGTCCTCATCGCCTACCTCATCGGCAGGAAGAGGAGCCACGCCGGCTACCAGACCATTTAGCGCAGCCACGCCGAGCACCCAGCTGCCACTGCAGGGCCGCTGCAGGCGCCCTGAGTGTGGGTTTGTGTTGAGTGGGGCACACTTTTCTGCAAACTGGTTTTCAGATCTGCTTTATCCAATGTGAAGTTCATCCTGCAACATTTACTATGCACAAAATGGTAATTGGAAATGATGGTGTTAATTTT